AGTCATTCATCATGACACCCTTCGGTGAGACTTGGTCCTTGTTTGGTCCTCGTTTATTATGCAAGCTCATGGGGCAGCGACGAAATGCTAATCTCGATATAAGGAAGGAGCAGCAGCCCCCCCCAGCCAATCCCCCACACACACACAACTTGATATTAATGAAATCTCACAAGTGTCTGGGACCCCAGAAGGACTCTCCGCACATGCAAAATGGCGTTGGGCAAATGCCATGATTGATTGACTTTATGTAAATTTCTGGCAAGCCACTTAAACTTTCCTGCCTGCCCTCGCGCCAGTAAATGTAATCAGGAAAAGTTTTTGCCTCTCCTTAGTCTCAGGGTTTTTGCCTTCCTCGTTTTTATTGTACTCTGGGGTTCGATTCTCTCTTGCTGCCTGCCACATAAATGCAATTTTTTTATGGCCTGTCCGCCTGGATATCTGGAATTGTAAAATCTAATTTGTCGGCAAAATGTTGCGGCCTGAAATGCCAAAAAAAAAAAAAAATACAATTCGATTTTCAATTGCGTAATGTTGCGTATGGAATGGAATGGAATGGTTTTTCATTCAGCCAGACCAGCGTTTGGTAATTTAATTTGAAAAGTTATGGTTGGAACTTACAGCAGGGTCAACACAGAGGTCAACACAGCAACCAGCAGCAGCAACAGTTCTGAGATTGGTCGAGTAAACTTAGGCAACTTAGAATGGGGTTCGAAAATGTTATTGCTTATTTCTTACTTTTTATATTCGCTTAAAAATTAATACAAACATTTGTTTGGCTGGGATTGGCTGGGATTTCTTGGTAAATAGTATTGCAAGAGACTCTTGATATTTCTTTTCTAATTATGCAGAAGAAAATACCTGTAGGTTTAGGCTCTTAATTAAGCTGATATATTTATTGGCTTAGGTTTTTTAAATGCTAGTTCCTAATCTAGTGGGGTTTTTATCTATTATCTTATTATTATCTATTCAAATCCATTATATTACTAGCCTTACGTCCTTTGGAGGGTTTATAGTACCATATATGTACACCAAAATAGCTGCCTTAGACACGACAAAATCTATATATAAAGCCTGTCAATCCTAGTCTTTTATTCCCGATTTCATATATGTTTAATGGATTAAATATTCTTTAATATTTAAGCAATTTTTTTATAGCCCTAACCCACTGGTAGCATTACCCCTTACATTCCACAACCCACTCTCAGCTACACAAATATTTCTCAAATATTTTTCACAATTGTCTGCCCTCAAAAGAGACACAAAAACAGGAAATGCTGAAATGTCACTCTGATGCCTGATGTCGCCTGGATGCTGCTGCCATCAGCATTCCCCATTCAGTGGCATTCAGTTGTGTGGGCGCATCATCAACCTCATGTGGACCGCAAGGAATAAAAGAAGCTCCCCCAAATGGCGAATGCTGAAGCTTACTCAGATGTCAGGGGCTTGGGGTCTCATGGCACATGGCAGGCGTAACGAATGGCAAATGGCACAAAAAATGAAACAGGGATAACAACAACAACAACAACAAAAAAATAAATAAATTATAAAATTATTTCAGCATAATAACATGTCAAAGTTCTGTACCCTCATGGGGTCGAGACGAGGCGGAAAAAAAAACACTGTTAACATGGAAAAACTCGCCCGTGGCCATACATTTCTTTTTCTGAGGTTATTTTTTACATTTTATTCATCTTTTTATTCCAACCCCTCGCATGTCTGGCTCTGGGGTTGTCTCTGGGTAATCTTTCATGTGGGATTTACAGCCAGACACCCTACCAAATGCTGCTGGACATTGCAACAATTTTTTACTGGACTTTTGTGGTTAGATTGTTTCCACCTTCACATGGACCCCTTGCCCTTTTTGTTGTTGTTGTTGTTGTTGTGTGTTTGGAATTTTATTTGTAAATTTATTTTCTCTTTTTGCAAAAAAGGAAAATAAAGTACAGCTCGAGGGTTGGGCAAGGGGAATGCTCGTATATATATTTTTGTATGAATGAATGAATTGCGAATTCGTTTTACATTAGCAAAATACACTCACTCAGTCCCAAAAATTCGTTCCACACTCGAAGAGCAATATTTATTTTGAAACATTTTCTAAATTATTCGCACAAAAATTTCAGCATGAGATTTTCACACAAATTTTCATGCATTTCTTTTTTTTTATGGAAACACTTAAGGAATAAATTTGTGCAAACGCCTCCCATTCGGTCTCCAGGGGGGGACTTATGCGGCCTGTGTCCTGTTGTGTGCTGACCCAAAGTGCTAATGCTGCCCAAAATGGAATTTAAATCTATTTTGTATTAGTTACGTGTGCTTGGCATATGTGGTATGGGGTGTTGCAAATGTTCATTCAGTTTTCAGAGGGGTGAAATGTGAATAATCTGGGAATTTGACAATATTTCATTGCGGTTTACGGGGCATACTAAGGGGAGCCTTGGCGTTTCATAAGGCAAGCAGGGAATAGCCAGAAATGTCATGGCAAAGTTTAAAGTGGCTGTTGAACACTTCGTTGTAATATTCAAAGTTCCATTCAGTTTATTTCTATGCCACATGGTCATCTCTTTGTCTAATCTTCTTTCGCTATTTATGCATATCGCAGCACATTTTCATTCATTCAACTGCGAACCCCAAAAGCCATACACCCCTACCCAAACACCATAATATATAAGATTGCATGACGCATCTGTCTTTGTTCTGTTTGATTGTTCCAATACAATAAATTATTCAAAGCTTGGACATTTCCATGCACGTTTCTTATTTATGAACATAAAAACTGTTGCAGCAAAGCAAAAAAAATGGAACAGCCAAGCTGAAAGCAAAAATAGAAAAATAGCAAAATAGAAAGAAAAAATCAACATAATCATCGATGCAATTTCATTGAGCAGCAATTCAAAAACATAGCCTCAGACATGGACAAGGGGATGCCCGAATGGACAAACATGATGACAATGGATGTAAGCAAGAAGGACACATACTACCCAAATATATTGTAGTGTGTAGTGTATAGTTTGAGGGAGAGTCCTTGGTCAGCGCACTCACGGGCTAAGTGCACAGTGGCATGGAAGAAAAACAGAATTGTGATTTATCATACAAATTAAAAGAAAAACTTAAAACAATAAAATTTGAAAATTATATGACTACATGCTACATTTAATAATAATAATAATAGTAAAGAAAATTTGTTAAAATTGCTCAATGGCTTTCAATTCTGTTGAAGCTACGAGAACATATTTCTCTTACTCTTTGTCTCTCTCTTCCAGTGTGGCTTAGTATTAAAGGAGGTGTACATTTACAGGTCCTAAAAGAATGAGTGAGAGAGCATTTCATGCGCTTTCTTCTCTTCGCTCTTCTTCTTCTTTTGGCTAGCTCCCTTTTATTACAAAGTTTCAAAAACAAAATAATTTGCAAAAAAAAAACATACTGTGATTTTTGCCATCTTTTTAATATGACTTAGTTATAGAATTAGTCTTAGTTGTTAACAATAGTTCACTGCTATTTAAGACTTAAGAATTCTTCAACTTTTAATCACGTTTCCGACCACTGTGCCACAAGTAAGCAAATTGAGTTTCGTTTGTGGCGTGGCTGTTGCTTTTGCTTTTCACATTTGGCATTTTTATTGATATGCATACAAACGCACGTACACATATAGAGGATACCCACACACACACACACACACACACACAGAGGGAAAGATACATTTTATTACACTGGACAGCTATTTTCAATATATTACCCAAAGCATAAAAGGCAAAAGCGCACTTGCCACGGTCGGTCCGGTCCGTCCGCTCCGCTCCGGTCCGGCATTCGCATTTGCTTTTTACATACGCCTCAAGGACCCCCGAGCGCTGAAAGGATATCTTTGAATGAGACTGTGTGTGTGTTTGTGTGTGTGTGTGTGTGCTTACCATACTAAAAAACGCATAAATAAGGACCCGTCCGAGAGGAAAATAACGGTTATGTCTGTTGCTGGTGCTGATGCCGATGCTGCGTGGTGGTTTCCCTCCCATCTCGCATCTCGCATCACCCATCATCATCATCTTCCGCCATTGGTGGTTGTTTTTCCGTCCCTTCCTTGCCTGGTATATTTCGCTCGTTCTCGTTCTCCTTTTCTTTTGCTTTTTATGCATAAAAAGTGCTTAGCATAAAGTCGTAAAAAACGTATTTGCCGCTATATACACACACACTCAGCGGAGAGCCCATCGATGTTTGTTATTGGCAGAATGCCTATGGCACTCCTGTGCCTGTTCCTGTTCCTGCTCCTGGCTTGGGTGTCCTTTGGCTTTGGCTGGGTACCACACACACCACACGCCGTTCGACCGATTTAGATGCTTCCGATAAGTTTTGCGTTCTGGTAGTGCCCTGCCCTGAGCTGCCCTGACCGGTGCTTATTTGCGTTATTATGAATTTATGACACTTTGCTCGAGATGTACGACGCGGGCTGGGGTGTTTGGTATTGGGATTGGGCGAATATCGGTATGAGGCGTAGGTTTGTTCTCTACACAGTGCGAAAATTCTGGGCAATATATGAAGTGTGAATATATCAGTGAAATGTAGAGCAAAAATTTATATTTAATTTAATTTCATTTAATTTATTTCGTTATGTTCTTAAATTATTTAATTAAATTTCTATGGCAGCAGCACGATGAGCAATATTCCAAGAGATTATTCCATGAATACATAAAATAAAAAGGGATTGCTATACAAATATGTAGAAAGGGAAATTGGCGGGGGATCAGCTGACGGTATTTTCTGCTCACTCTCTATATTTCTTGAGTCAAATAAGAACCACATCCCCCCATATCCCCCCATGAACTAACAGATGCGGACTTGCTGTCGCAAATTTCCCAACAGCGAACCAACGAATCCTCGCTTGGCAGCCCACATAAAGCAGCATTTAAACGCCTGGACTCGAGACGCACAAGCGAATGCTGCAAAAGAGAATGCCCAAGAATTTGCCATCAAGCCGCAGTATGTGTGAGCATAAAAATACAAAATAGATATCGATTAAGCATATACAATTTATTCGTTTGCTTTGTTTTAAGTTCTGCACTTTAATCAAGGGTCTTCTTGTGTTGTGACTGTGTCTGTGACTGTGTGTGCGTGGGTTTTAGCAACATTTTCTGTTCGTTTTTGGGCATTTTCGTAATGATCATATTTTGAAAAGAAACAACAATTTCGCCATTGTCATCACGGTCAATGATCTTGACCCTCGTGCCACCAGACTTCACCAGCTGAATGTCTTTGATCTGCTCACACAGATTGTCCTCGATCCACCGCTGCTGCTGTTTGTACTCCAAATTATCGACACTGTCTGCCAGCTGCTCGCCCCACATCAATTTCATTTCACGGGCTTCAATGCGATCCAGCTCAGTAACAGCTTCTTCAACAGGCAGATGCATCGCCGACGATTGAGGAGACCAGAAATCAGAGGAGTAATCGTCATCGTTCTCTGATCCTCTGGACTCCTCTGGTATTTTGCGTCTGCTGACTGTTTTTCCTGCTGCCTTTGCATGTCGTTTAAGGCCCTCTTTGAATGATCCGATAGAATTTATGCTGGAAATCTTTCTCATGCGACGACTTTTGGCGCGCTCAGTCGCTGGCACACTATCGTCTGTGGGGTGTGTGCGGAGCACGAGCTGCAGTCCCTGCGTGGTGCTGAAAACGGGCGACAGCTCGTTGACGTTTAGGGCCAGCACTTGCCGGCGAAACTCAGACCGCACTTGCAGTGCCTTGAAGATGCCAATGTCTCCGCCCTTGCGAGCAGAGCAGCACTCCGAGATGGCCATTGCAACGGCTGCAAAGTCCACGCGGCCGCTTACTATCAGCCGGCGGGCGTTCTCGATCATTTTGCGGGCCTGCGACTCACTGCGATTCGCGTGCTTGGCTAGTGCGTGTGTCCGGGGACCATAGTGCACCAGGATGTGTCGGCAGCGCAGCCAGGGACCAGGAGGAATGCCCATATCCAAATACTGCATCAAGTGTTCAGACAGTGGCTTCGAATTTGCATTTGAATTTATTGCCTTCTTTTTGTTGTCATGGATCTTCATCAGTTTTTTGTTCGCACCTTCACTGGAATCCCCAGAATCCCCACTGGAGATCCCGTCAACGGAGCAGCATTCGGAGCTGTACATTGTGGAAAGTTTCGGAGTTTAATGAATAATTTGTTGTTTGTTTGGATTTCGCTTTGAAATTTGACACATTGCTGTCAGCCAGTCAACTGTGTTACAGAGATGTTTCTTGTTCAACGATCGACTATCGATATATGCAAGTTTTATATATAGGAGGTGGCGTTAACTCGTGTCAGACGTGAAGGCCAAATAAATCTTTCAACTAATCACGGTTGAAAGTGACTTAATAACAAAAAAAATATATATATAAAGATATGTACGTGGAAAACAAATATTTAAATATAAAATATTTTAAAATTTCACATAAATCATAAGCTCCCATATATACTGAGTGAATACCGGGTATAAAAGTAGAGTCGCGGCAAATAGAGCAGCTCACAACGTTCACAATTCAATTAAAAGAAACTTTAACTTAAGCAAATTAAAATCACAAATTATAAGAATTATTACAATTAATAATAATAATTATAAAAATAATAATTTAATTTATATTCATTATTAATAATTAACAAGTCTCATCTTAATGAATCTTTTTATATTTTTCCATTGAACTTGCAGGGTTAGCAACCCTTTTCTTGTCTATTTCCATCTCTCCATAGATCCTCCTTTAAATTTCGCCAAGTGTATTTTCATGCCAATTCCGTTGAGACACGAGCCCCAATGCGCGCTCGTGAATAATCGCTGCAGCATGAAAAATACGCTGATTCGCAAGAAAATTTTCGTTTTGGCAGTGAGTCTTTTTGGCCATTTGACCATTTCCCATTTCCCCCTCGGATTTTTGTTTGTTTCTTTTTCTACCATTTCCTTTGCTGGTGTTTGCTTTTTTATCTGCGCAAGGACCTTGCCCATTTTTTACGCAAATCGTCGACGGCACTCGTCGCCGCGCCAAATGTCCCAGGCCTATCGAGCCAATAACCAGCTCGCTCCTGAAGCTGTCCGGCCGTAGAGAGGACTTGAATCAGCTTTATTGCGGGCATCATTATTTTTATTATTATGACCACTTACATTTCCCGCCACCCACACAGCCCGAAATACTGCCATGAATTTTCCCACCCTCTGCGGCAGCATATCTCTGTCCTCTCGCTCTCTCGCTGTGGGAATGTAAATGTTTGTCTTTGGACCCCAAAACCGAAAACGCGTAAATAACTTCAACCCATTTGCACGGGTCTGGGTCCAGGCCACATTGCCTCCACCCCCTGCCCGGCTCGTATATAAAAATAAATTGAATTGAAATGCTAATTTTATGTTAATTGAAAGAGGTTTTTATGCAGCTGTAGATTTTATGTGCTGTTTTTTGGTTATATTTTGCTTCTCTTTTTTGCTTTTTTGCTGGTCAGCAGAACGCACCGCTCTGACGCTGCTGAGACATTTTGAGACATTACCACTAAAAGCTGCTCATCAGTTGGCAATTTTTTTTGTGTAATTCTTACGTTATTCGTTGCGCATAAAATTCAATGGCAAAACGCGTCTCATCTTTGGACAGTTGCGCAAATTGAAAGTTTCGCCTAAAAGCATGCCTCGTAAATTATGTTTAAATGCCTTTGTAATAGTTTTGTTTACAATTTTTTGTACGTTAGTTAATTCGTGGTAATAACCATAGAATTTACATATTTAGGCAGGCAGGCAGGAAAATATTTATTTTTCTCATACTCCTACTTTGAAATCAAACAACAAAATCTTTTTCTATATTATTTTGGTTTTTTTTTGCTCCACAAAATGTCCAAGATAAAATCTCTTATAATTTTTGTGATTAATATGGGTGACAAGAGCGTCTAATATTCATGGGTATTTTACGAACAATTTTCCATAAACTAATGCTCAAATTCGCAGGAATTTACACGAACAAAAGATATGCAACGCCGTGCACTAAGAAGTAATCGACATTTTTGGATACTTTTGTGCATCAGCTTAAATTTCTTAATTAAATAAATAGTTGATAAATATATACTGACAATCCAATTTGCAAAACTTTCCATTGACTGCAAGTTGCATCCATATTCATTCCGCTTAATTTTATTTAAATACCACACAAAACGAAACTTTTCCACTCCAATCGACTCGAGCCCCAAACCACAGAGATTCGATTCGATTATAGAATGCCTTTTCAAACCCATACCAATAGTTTAATATGTTTCTTTTTTTTTATGCTTAAAAAAAAATTTTTTTTGGGGGGGGGGGGGGGGGGGGGAAAAAATAAAAAAGGGGGGAAAAAAAAAAAAAAAAAAAAGAAAGAAAAAAAAAAAAAAAAAAAAAAAAAAAAAAAAAAAAAAAAAAAAAAAAAAAAAAAAAAAAAAAAAAAAAAAAAAAAAAAAAAAAACCACCCCCCCTGTCTGTCTGTGCAGCAACATTGGCAACCGGATATCCTGCTGCAAGGCAGACAGATTTCACACACACACACACCCATGTAGACTTGCAACACTGCCGCTGCCGTCCCCTTCGTGTCCGTGCCACATGTGTCGTTGCTTTCTCTCCTTTCTTACTTCTTATCGTGCACGCACAGTCTGGATGCTGTTTCAGCTCTTGCCCCGAAGCAAGAACTAACCCTCCCCTCCTCCAGCACATGCAAAGCGACCCCCGCCCAACCCTAGGAAAAAACTTTTACCTCGCAAAAGGGGGAAAAACCATAGAAAAGCAAAGAGAATTTTTCCACTTGGGTTTCTCTCGCTTTTTGCTTACTGCACACAGACACATGGAACCAGAGGCAATGGCAAGTGACATAAAATCGATTTTATTTGCTCTGTCTAGCTACATTATTATATATCTACATAGAATGTACATATGTATATTTTGCACTGGAGTGCAGACTGTGTGCACTTTGTAGTGGAGCACCTGCCATGGGACGCGACGCCGGAGTGAATAAAAATCGGTAACACGCCTACAGTTTGAAACGAAGAAAAGCAACAGCCAATAAAAATTTAAGTATTAACTTTTGGGGTACTCAAAAGGGAATGGTTAGACTAAAAAGCTGCAGAAAGAAGTTGCGCTGGATTCGACATTTTACTGATAGGAAGGAGGTGAAATTATGAATTATAAATAAAATAAATGAAAAAAAAAATTAAATTATAATAAAATGATATATAATACAATATAGGTATATTATAATATAATAATAATAATAAAATATATAATATAAAATTATTTTTATATTATATTATATATTTTATATATATTTATATATTATATAAAAATTTATATTTATATAATATATATTATTATATTATATTACCAATTACCAATAATTTCTCATATTGTTCGATGTGAATTTTGCAAAAATGTAACTGAAAATCGTGTGTTTTATGGACTAGTATCAGAGTACCTCCATTTTATTTTCCAGTAAATGAAGCCCCGCTCATTTCCCCATTTTAATAGTAGCAGAGAAGCCCTCAAATCCTTTTTCAAAACCAAAAAATTCAACCCCAAATAAAGTTTGATTCTTGCACCACCTTCAAAAGCCGACGCCCATTTTTTAATGTGCGAAAGAGATGGCCACAATTGGAAGCTCCATTTTTGAGCAACAGCCATTTTAAGTGATTTTTTATTTTAAATAAAAAATTGAACAGTGGAAACACCCTGCAGCGCACAGGCATCTCTATCCCTCTACCCTTCTTCGCTCTTACCCCCTTCTCTCGCACCCTGCTTCATTTGCATTTAAATTAAGGGTAGCTTCAATTTACATAGGGGTTGTGGTTCCCCCGTTTCCACCCCACACCATAAACACCACAAATCAGCGCACATAAATCTTGGGCTAGTAAAAATTATATCCATTTGATTAGTCATAAATTCAAATGCCGAGCAAAACTGCCACCGAGCAAAAGTTTTTGCCAAAGCAAAATCAGCCATGAACCATGATTATTGTATGCATAATTTTTTGGCCACACAGCCACGCAATTTTTATGATTGTTATTATTATGCATGCAAGGCAAACTGAGATATATTGTGTGTGTGTGTGCTGGCACCCCATCCCCTCCACCAACTGTATTCCCGCTGTATGGATTTTGTGCAAAGTTGGCAGTTCTAACGCTTCACTGGAGGCTGCGAGTGGGTTGCCTGGTTGCCTGGTTGGGTGATTGGATGGGTGGCTCGGGTCTGCTGGCTCTGTTGGCTCTGCTTATGATTCATTGTTGGCGCTTTGGCACAACTTTCTGCGCACCACCACAAAAAAAAGGTGAAAGCCATAGGAAAAGCCAAGCCATATCCGGCCACGACCTGGACGCGGCTCATTAGCATCGAGCCACCCCACCACCCTTAGTTGGCTGGCCCCAGGAAATACCATGCCAGCTTCAGTCTAGAGATTTATGTGCTGCGCTGTCATAAAACTAAATATGCAGCAATTTGAATAAGTTTATGGCGGAAATGAGCAGGGGGCAACATTGAGATGGAATGTCCTGCAATGAAACAAGATTCAGGGATATATACTGGTAATTTTTGTATTTAACTATAAATCAGAAATATTTGTAGCCCGTTGTGAAAGTTTTAAGAATTTAACAGGAAATCCATTTAAAAAAAAACAGCACACAAAATCACAACTAAAGTTAATTAAATTCCAGCTAATTCCGCAAAGTGTTTTTTTTTTGCTACCTTCCCTGCTTTCAAATCCTAATAGATTAAGGCAGCACTCGTGCCCATCAAATAGTGATCTTGATTACCATCTGCCTGCTGAAATTAATTTAACAAATGTAACTCCGCAAAGTATGCAACAAATTGCAAAAGGGAAACTTCAAAAACGAAAGAGAAAAGCCAAACCTAAATACAAATAATAGACAATTCAGTGTCTCCCACTCCACACTGCTCCCGCCTGTCAGTCAAGTGAAAAAAGGGCATTAAGAAATACTTTTTGTTGGAATTTTCACTTTAGAATTTGTGTGGCCCAAAGGCAGCGAGAAAGAAGCGCAAATAAAAACCAAGTAAAATCGAGTAGAAAAAGTTTTACTTTCTTAACGTGTGTGTGTGTGTGGCCAAGATAATGCAAGGAATGCGATTTGGAAAGGCTTTCAGAGGGGGCAGGGGGCAACTGCTGGACTTCGATTATAATTCCAACACCTACAAAGGGGGATCGAAGGATACG